TGGGACTAAGGACCCAGTTGTACAGAGAGGACGGGGACTGAAGTCCAAGGGAAATCCAGCCTAAGGATTATAAAGGGAGGCAATCATGGATTGAACTGCAGCTTCTGCATAAACAGCTGTAAAGATCATTCTGCCTGTATCTCTCCACCTCATCAGCATGACATCCTGTCAAGGCTCTCAGCACCACTTGAATTAGTGGTTCTCAATCTCTTTAGTTTCATGGAACCCCTCATTAGACTCAAGGCACCTCTCAGAAAATGCCAGCTCTTAGTTTTTTCACTCATTTTTTGACGGTGGAAAAATAATAGAGGAATTTTTTTCTCTTGCGAAGACCACAACAGGTCAGAAAGTTATTATCACTATAGATATCTATTTGAAATCTCTGGGTTTATCTTGTGAATCATGTTTGTACACCCAACATTGCGGGGTGCCCTGCAGCACTTTGAAAGAATCTCAAGGCACCCCAGAGTGCTGCGGCACCCTGGTTGAGACTTAAACCAGCAGACTGAAATCCCAGGCACCTAACGATTAAGAAGTGGGGCTGTGTACAGGTGGATGATTATGAGAGGAGAGGAACCTTCTACCTGAAAACTATCCCCAAACAGCAGGCAAGAGTGGCCACAGTCCTTCTACTGAGTGGTAGAGCTACTGGATTCTTGTCCATCCTGATCTAAATCATCCCTGCCTAGCCTCACTGCCACTTCCCATCCAGAACAATGGAAGTGGAGTGGGACCCAGTTCTCTGGAGCAGAGACTGGGTCATAACCTCAGGTGACTTTACTCTTATTGGAATAAATGGTTTCATCCCTTCCCAGGATTTGTTAATGGAAGTGCTCAGCAGCCACTTCTCTGCTCCCAACTACTTCAGTTGCTATTTTTTTCAAGCTTCATCTTTCTTCTGTTGACATCACTGAAAAATATCCTTTGACTTTGGTGGGAGCAGAATTGAAACCTTTGTTTAACTAATGGGGATTGACAGCCGAGGCATGATCCTGCAGTCCTTACACTGGCAAAAATCCGATTGAGCAATCCATGCCCCATGGTGCTGATTTCTTTGGGGAAAAAAACCCCTTAGGTTTAGTGTTAAACTATTTCAGCATAAGAGATGACTACTAAGAGTATTTAGTAACAGCTTTCAACTGTTTTTGTTGGTGACACTGATGGCTATTAAAAGGTTTCTATAGAACATAAATTGGTGCGTCACAGATTAAGTGCTGCAATAATGGGTCTACAAATTTACGCTTTTCAGAATCCATGCGTTCAGACTGAAAGATGCTTTATAATGCTCTTGACACAGAAAGACACCCTGAACAATGGACTATCCGTATGCACGTTGTCTTCATCCACAGATTAAAACTTTGGCACTGAGAGTCAATGCCTTTTTCCAGGGAAGGGTGTGCTGAAATTGCTAGAGGCAAGGAGATTTAAAACAGAATTTTAAACTGAACTTAACAAAAAATAGGTTCTGGTCTGAGACCTTGTGGGACAAGTTTCAGGGCAAGATGAAATGCCTGCAGTTCAGAAACAGTGATTGCAAGAGAGACTTCACCCCACCCTTTGCTCTGGCAACCACCAACACACAAATCACGTATGTGTGTGTAGAAAGGAGAGGCTGGGTGGTGGTGGCTGGCCTTTTGAGTAATGTGGGCTTTTCACTGCATGCCCTTTAAATGGACCAAGCCTTTTTTGCGTCTGGTACTTTGTGGCAAACTGCGTTTTTGCAGAATGAGAGCAGCAGTTACACAAATATGCTTTTTAGTAACAATAGGACTATGCCAAGTGTATTTACATCCCAGTATGTGGCAGAAGAGCATTCTTATGTCTTGTCTACACAAGCTAGAAGCAAAACAACTGAATCTGTTTGTTATTTTGATGCAAGTCTCCACCTGGGTATTTTGTTCAGATTGAGACTGCTGCGGTTTTGTTTATGTACTCTAATTTGTTCATAAATCCATTTATATTAAACCAAAGCAGTATGCTTTGACTCTAAAATAAGAATGTGCACGCAGGGGTTTTCACTGAAATAATTAAAGAAATTGAAAAAAATAGATTTAGTTATTTGGAAACATGTTTGAATGTGCACCAGCCCCTAGACTCATTTTCTCCTAGCCATCATCTGTCATAATTATTTAAAGAATATGGACAGAATTAAACTTAATTCACATAAAAGACTTGCAGTACTTCCCCTGGATTATGCACTCAGTACAAAGCTTCATGGAATTATTCTGCGTCACCTATCCAAAATCCTTTCCAGAATTAAGTACCGAAAGGATTCCCTAGAAAATGCAAGACAAAGCTTACTGGACTCCCAAAGTGATAAACAATAATTTATAAAGAAATCAAACAGGATTAAAGTCACTGGGCTTTATCCAGCAATGAGCCCAGGGCAAGTCACTGGGCACAGACCAAACTAGTTTAAAGCTTTCCATTGCACCGAGTTGCTCCTGGTGGTGCTCTTTCTTTGTAAGAGAAGCCCAACGGCTGCTCTAATTCATGCTGGCACAGTATCCACAAAGGGATGAAAATGTTATCCAGGATCAGTGTAGCATAAAAGCATCCTGAGCACTTTGCTTCACTGTCTCCATGAGCCATTTTTCCACTATCCCAGCTGCAGAGAGGGAGTGTCAGCTTGATGCCAGTGGAGGATCATCCCTGCACTGGAATAATCCTCTGTGGACCAGTAAGAGTTTAGAACCAAGTAATTTCATACAATGCAAAGCAGCCACTTGAGGATGTCATCTGATGCTGCAGTCTCCAAAGGGCATAATAAAACACAAATGACAAAGTACAGACTGCATATGGGGGCTGCAGGGTAAAGAAAAGAAATCCTGATAGTGTCCCATACAGTTGCATTGATCTTATGAATGAATTCCTCACTGGCCCCCGCATCAGTGTACAATTCCTTGAATTCTGTTTATGAGTCTCGGTCACAGGATGGCCCAATGAGAAAGGGATAATCATTTGAAAAACCTGAATGATGCCCATTGCTTGCATATTTTAACACCTGAAGAATACACTGGAGACAAGGACCCTGCTTTGGCTCCCAGCCAAAAAGGATGGAATCACCTGGCAGGTTTTTTTCATCTCTGATTTCCATAAGTCTGTTGTGTGTGACATTCATCTATAATGGAAGGGGCTGAGACCTTGCCTTAATCACACCAGTACACAGGCCTCATCTCTCCTTTCTCTTGCTTCTCTCTGCTTTTTCTAGTACCAGTCCCTTCTCCAGCCCTCACCACAACCTCAACCGTGATGGTGAGAGGACCCGTTCTTCTGCTTCAGCTGGCCTTCCCAGTAATCTCCCTGTATCTCGCTGCCACATAGATTCATTCATAACTCAATAGCCATGCACACAACCTTCAAGAAAGTAAGAGATGACACCAATATTATTTCCAATCTGTATTCCCCATAGACATGGTCAAGTAGCATCTCCTGGGATTGGAAATATTGGTGCATAAAGACTCCTATGAAGTATGATACAAAGTTCAGCACCTAAAAAACATGTGTGGCTCAAACCACACCCTTTCCCATCACCCGCTGTCCTTCACCTTAGAGAAACTGAGGCAGGTGCTTCTTCCTTTTGGTAATGAATTGCAGCAAATCAGTCGGACCCCCCAAAGGGACTCAGTGGGAACCCAGAAGCTTTACTCTGCAGTGAGAAGTGCTACAGGGAACCAACCAGCTGCTGGCCTAAGGGTGGCAGATTTCAGCAAAGACCTCAAAGGACTTTAAAAAAGCAGGTATCACCCTCTTCTTCCAGATGAGGAAAAGGGGGCACAAGCAGCTTGCCCATGGTCCCATAGGGAATCAGAGGCAGAGTCAGTGACCAACTTGGGTTTTCTGGCCCCCCTGTCCGTAGCAAAAACAGCAGTTTACCACTGAAACAGAAATCATCTGCTAATGAGATACAGTCACAGAGGAGCTAAGGTGACTCGCTACTGCTCTGGACTCGTGCCAAACGTCACCCCCAGCTGGCCCAGTTGTAACTGGGTGCCTGGTCACTGGAGGGGGCTGGGCGCGAGCTAGCCACGCACTCCAGGATGTGTGCTGCCAGCAGACCTTAAGCACGCTAGGCGGGTGGGCTGCTAGCATGGCTGCCAGGGTCACTGGACTGGGATCTGGAAGGCCAGCCTTCAGTTCCCTCTTCTGCTCCCAGTGTGGCGGGGCCTGTCACTGCGCGGCTCAGTTCCCCATCTCTACATGGGGACGAAGGCAGCCTGGGGCTGGGCGGAGGAGCACACCCGGTCCTGCGGCTACAGGGGCCTAAATAAACCCTTTCCCCGGACGGGTCTTGACAGGGGCCTGGGCTGCACGCCCGCCCCCGGGCAGAGACAGGGGTGCACTTACTGCCACACCGCCGGGGTCTTGCGCTTTCATCCTCCCGTCGCCTGGCTCCGGCCTATCCCCGCTGCTCTCCTCCTCCTCCTCCCCTGCTCGTCCCTGGCTTTCCCCCCGGCTCCCTCCGTCCATGCCCTGCTCCCCTCCCCTCTGCACTTGTCTCAGCCCGCAGGCCCGCGACAGGTTTCAGTTCCTGCCAGTTCGCAGCTTCTTTCCCCCGAGATCAGCAAAAAAAAGAGAAGAGGAGGCCCCAGCCCTCCGCGGCCCACACCCGCCCAGGCGATAGCATCTTTCGAAATCCTCCAACCCCAACACACCCCCGGCCTCTCGCTGCGCGCCTGCTCTGCCCCGCGCTGCCCGGGGGTCTGCCCGCCCCCCCGGGCAGGGGAAGGGCTGGGCCGGCAAAGAAAAACACCCTCTGCTCCTCGGAAATGAAAACATCCCGCTACCCACCCCCCGGGGCGCCGCTGCCCTCCCTCCAGCCCCGCGGTGCGGTGCGGCGCGGTAGGGACAGCCGGCAGAGGGGAGGAGACCGAGCTCTCTCTGGGCTCGCAGCTGAACCAGATCCAAGTCCCCCTCCCCCGGGCAGGGCGCCCCTCCGGAGCGCGGACCTCCCCGCCGCGGGGCCGGGGTCCCCCCTCGCCCCTCCGGCCTCCGCTTACCTTAATAGTTCCGTCCATTGGGAACAATCTCCGGCCGCCCCCGCCAATATTCCACACATTGACCCGGCTTAGGCTGGGACCGACCCCTCGAAGTGCTGCCCCTGCCCTCTCGTTCACTTCTCTGCCCCCTTCCCCTGCCTTCACTTTTCCTTTCTCTGCCTCTCTCGCCCTTTCTACTTGTGCGCGTTGCAGCCCAGCGAAGGGGAGACAGTTAACCGGATGAAAGTTTTTTTTCTGCTAATTTTGGGAAGTGAAGTCACTCGAGGAGGAAACCTTCTGTCTCTCCGCCGGTCCTGCCTTCTTGATCAAAATATATCTGCATTTCACACACAGGATATTTGCTCCCTGCAGATAAGAGAGGACCAGAACAATAGCTGGTTCTTTCGGGCAGGTCTCGGGGGGCTGCCACGCACCCGGGCTCATCCCCACGTCTCGTTTCACATGTATTTGGCAATTTTTTTTTTTAATTTTTTTTTTTTGGCTGCAGCAAACTAGCCTGAGTCACTGACTTTCCGTCTCTTCCCACAGATTTGTATTAATGCGTTTTCCAGTCATAGGCAAAATTAAGGGGAGAAAAGCCGAGCTGGGCACGCAGGATATTTAAAAGGCGGCCCCTGCCCCCCCTCCTGCCCGGGGAGACTTTCCATGAGTCCTGCCTGAGCGGGCTCGGGTCGCCTCCAGTTATGCCCAGAAATTAGCGGTAAGTAGCAGGCCAGGCAGACCAACTACATTCAAGATAAGTTTACCCATGTCTAGTGCTTCCCTACGCTCAGATGCGGGTTTTTTGGTTGTTTTTTTTTTGCTGACTTTCCAAGCAAGGGAACTTCTCGTTCCCCGTCGTTTTGAAAGAAGCAGTATTTTTGTTTTTTTTAGAAAAGGGTTCGCCTTCACTTTCTCTGGGGCAGAAGAAAGCGTGCTGTGACACGCTTCAGCAAGGGAGGAAAAGCGAGCACGGATCTCGCAGCCTGGCTGCAGGGATCTGCTCGAGATCATTTCCTTCCCAACTGGGAAAAATGAAGTCGCGATTCCCGTAGCTCGGGCACTGGTCCATTGCATGCCAGTGGGCTTCAGACCCCCCCCCCCCCCGCAATTGCTATATCTGGTTAAAAGCCACCGATCACCAACCAGGGGGCAGACTGGAAAGCGACAAAAAGATGCCAGATGTGTTGAAAAATTCGCTTTTCGCTCCGGAGGGCGGGTCAGATACGGTGTTGGTCTCACGGGTACAACATCTTTAAACCGCTCCAGCTAGAGAGTAATTGGCATCAGATCCGGCGGTTCGTTCAGAGGGGAGCGATCACGCACGGGTCCTAGAGAAAGGGACATCCCTTCCCTTCCGTGCTAAAGAAGGAAAGAAAGAGAGGAAAGGAAGCCCGAAGCGGGGGGAAAGCTCTCCAAACAATCAAGGCAGCGGAGACAAAGCACTCCTGTCCAACCTGCCCCCCAGCAGCACACATCCTGCTGCCACTTGGGCAGCTTTTCTTGCCCACTCCTGCAATGCGGTGCAAACTGCCGGAGCCCAGAAAGGAAAAGGCGATACAGCCGAGACAGATTGCGAAAGGTAACAGGGCACTCAGCATCCCACTCCTGCTGGAGACGGTTACCTTATCCAGCGCAGCTGTGTCCAGCCTCGGCTTCCCCCCCTGATCTTTAATCCAACCACGGGAAAACAAAATCAAAAAACGATACCCGCGTTAATATTCACCTCCCCCCAAAATAATAATAATAATAAAAAAAGTGACTAGGACTCTTGTTTCTATTCGGCGGCGGCAGAGATGCCTTATTCATACTTTATTTCTCCAGGAGCAAAGCTGGCAGCAGAGAGAAATTAGCCTCATCAATTCAGCTACAATTTTCAGTTCAGATGCAGACAGGGGCCTGAACGTGACCAGACCTGGAGCTTTGGGCTTGCTGCTTGCCAGCGATTGAGGCCGTCTCCTGCGAGGAGGTGAAGGGGGGTAGGAGAGGGGACAGGCCGACCCGACCGCCTCCCCTCTCCCCCGCCCCCCTCTCCTGTCTGCTTTACAATCCAGGGGTCTGCAGTGGAGCCCCCTGAGAGCACCACATCTGGATACTGCTAGCGGGGTCAGGTCCCCCTATGCCTAGGGCCACAAGAACTGGAGTTCAATTAAAAGAAATCATGGTTAACCCCTTGCTGTCCTTGTCCCTCTGCCTCCTTCTTCAACTCCTCCCTACTCCACTCCCCCTCTGGCACGACCACATTGCAGGCACTAGCTCCAGCAAAAAGGGCGAGCTGCAAGGGAAACATGGGACGTATCCCTTTTAACCTCCCCATAATTTCCTTTCCATACCAGCCTGCAAACACAAGCAGCGGTGGGAGGACACAACTGAGGACCCCCAACACTAGAAAGACCTTTTGGTCTCGAAGCTGCATTATCCACTGCTCTCTTTTGATGGGCTGAGGGTGGAGGGATGGGATCTGATGGCTCCATAAACTGGAGCGAAAACAATACCCGCTAAAACGTCCCACGTGCATTAAAACCGAGCTGCAAACGGCAAAGGTTTATTCCCGGCCTCGGCGCTGTCCTAGAGACGCTCTTGGCAAAACCCGCTTTTGATCCCCAGTTCCTTCACAAGCACAAGGGTGTTAGAAACCAACCACGCACACCTCCGAGTTGCTTACAAGCCCTCTGCACTGTATTGCCAAAAAAAAAAGAAGTGAACTATGACCCCGAAGCGATTCCTTTAAACTTCACTCTAAAAATTAAGCACGTTATATATTGCATCTATCGTGTATAAACAGTGCTTCTCTCCCCCCTCCCGTGTTGGGTCGAAAGAGTTTCGTGAAACCCCAGGAGACAAGGTAATAAGTGAACTTGCAGCATTATAGCAGAAAGGCTGAACAAGGTATGAACCTCCCCCCCCCCGAATAATCCAACAACTGCAGTTTTGCTTCATTTCTTTTGCTTAAAAAAAAAACCTGAAGGTATGGCAAACTTTTGAAACAGGCTGGAATATCCATATGCTTCGCTTGCCAAACTCTGAATCATCCCAGGTGATTGTTCAGGACTTCATCTTAACTGTTTAATAGAAGAGGGACAAGGAGAGAGCAACCTCAGACAGAAAAGGTTGTAACAACCTATACAAGCTTAGGGGTCCGCTGCTAAGAGTAATGCATTTCACAATGAAATGCTTATGCACAGCTCTGATAAATGTGTGTAACTTTTAATCTGACGGTCGACTTTTTGATGCATATGTATATATAGTGAAAGAATTATGATTTGTTTAATGTGGTTACTACCAGACATCTGGAAAAATTATTTGATGTTGGCAGCTACAATAGTTTTCACCCTGACAGAAGATTTCAAATGTTTGCATTGAGACAGGCTGGTAGAAACCAGTTGCTCATCTCTCTCTCATCTCTCTCTCAAAATGCACTTGTGAATGAAGCTAAACTCTACTCCAAAGGTTTTAATGAGTTCAATATTGATCGCAGGCTCTTCTTTTTCTGCCCTTTATTCTTTAATTGAATAGCACAGAGCAGAGGATCGCAGGCAGGAGCTGAACTCGCAGTCCTCCGTGTAACCCCGTTGAAATCAATGAGGAGCCCTCAGCATAGACTTTCTCCCTATGATGTGTAGCTGAAAACATCCAGCATGAAATGGGTTAAGGCTGGAGTTCAATGCCAGTCCTTAGCATAGGGATACATCCGCAAATGTGTGTGTTTTTTGTCTTTGATACACGATTATGGTCACAGCTTTAAAAATACCGATTTGTTCTGCAAGGATGAGTCCGTTACTGGGGCCTCAGCTGCAAGTTTCACCCCTTTTTAGGGTACAGTTTTGTTTTAATCTTGGTGCCCATTGCAACCAGACAGCATCACCTTATGTTCTGGTTCATGATCTATTCTTCAATTCATTCTTTTGTATCAAATTAAGTAATTAAAGAGAGTAACAAACCAATTAACCCCCCCCCTTCCCTTGGCTCTCTAGCTAGAAAGTGGCCCGTTTCCCAATCACTATGTTACAAGTTCCTCTTTTTCTATTTTTTATGTGAAAACAGATCTTCCGCCTAAAGCTGCATCTGCAAAAGCCAGGGATTGATCTGCTGCAGTTATCATACGGGAACAAGCTCCCACTAACCTCACTGGGAGCTTTGAAACTGAAACTGGGTTCCGAGGTGGCACTAACTCCACTGGAGAGCAAAGAAAAGACAACGTGTTTTAAAATGTGGGGCTCCCAAGCAAAGCATGAAACCCAAACCTAGGGCATGCTCCCAAGGCAGGGCTCAAAGCAAGGCACCAACGCTCTGCTCGCAGCTGCAATGATAAAACCTGACTAGCTGGAGCCCTTCCAGCTTTGCAGCAAGGCAGGGGACTGCAGGATCCGTTCCCCTGCTCCCTATGTCTGGGTCTGTAGAGAGAAATCTTTGATAGTGCAAGTTCCCAAAAAGTTATGTAATGCTAATAAATACTCAAATAAAATCTAAAGTCTTGGAAAGTCATGTGGAGAAGATACAGGTAGCTTTAAAGCTACAGCACAATCGTGCAGAGAGGTAGTGAAGCTGTCTTGGATAGTTTTATTTGAGTCCTATGTCCCAATAAACCAACCCTCCCCTCCCTCTTCCAGCCCCCCTCCTCCCCCCAATTATTGAAAAGCCAAGCACAAAAAAACAAAAATACCGAAGGCCAAAAAAACAGACTGCAGTGCACCAGCTCCAAACGTCTGGCCCCTCGCTTGAGGCCATAATTAATTTGAGATTTATTTTTATTGGAGAACCCAGTCTCGTCTGACCTTAGCCAAACAAGACTTCAGCTAGACCCTTGATGCGCTTGAATGGAACAGAATATTTCTCTCTAACTTCTCTTCAGGCGTCCGTGCCTGCTTTGAATTTGTTCCTCAGACTTCATATATTTGGAGATTTGAAGGAAAGATTTAAAGCATTTTTCCCCCTTAGCATCCACTACTTTTTTTTTTTTTTAAACATAGTGGTGGGAGAGTGTAGAGGGGGTTGGAATACAAAATACATAGGATTTTGCATATTTGTGGGGGGGGGGAGGGAAAAAGGTGTTTTTTCTATAAGTTCAGAAAGAATGGAGCTTTTAGAAGGTCAGTAGAGTTAGTGACTTACAGAGGGGGGTTTGGTTACTTGAATTCTGGTGTCTGGAAAAGCAGGAGTCTTTGAATGTAAAAGCTTGTCCCTTGTGCCCTAAAGCCTGGTTTATTTTAAAAAAGCCTCAACATACTACACTTCCAGGATAAACAATGTTTCCTCCACCCCCCTGCTTAAATTCAAATGATACCATTAAGGTAAAATCATGAAAGAAACAATGAGAGTTCTTTCCCCACACACTTGCATTTTGTAGGGATAAAATAAAAAGCAAGATGCACATAAATTGGGAAAGAGGGAAAATCTAAATGTTCTGTAATAAAAGGTAGGTGCAAACAAGAATTAAATCCTTAAGCTCTAAGTTGTCATAACGCATTAAATAAAGGACGTACTAAAATATAACACTTGGCAACATTTCTGCCTCAAGAAATGATTGTAAAAAAGAAAGATTTGGTATTTACTAATATTAATCAGCACTAAGCATGTGGATGACATCAGAGTTCATTTCCAGCTCCCATGCTCATGCACACGTCTAGAATTTGTTTCAGCCAAGTTCAAATATCTCCTTGCCTGCAAATCTCTTGCAATCCCCAGGTCTCCTAGAGGATACCTGTTCCTGTCCTCCTGAGCTTGGCTGGGGATCAGGATTGATAACTTTTGCTGGAAGCCTGTAGTTTTAAAACATGGCACAGAAATGGCCAAAGCACTAACAGACTGAATAGGAATAATGCTGGGATCACTGAGCCTTCAGCCCATTAACTTTTTTCCATTTTTTTGAGGCTAAAGGTCTGCATCAAATCTTTAGTGTGCTACAGTTCCTGTCTGCTCCCCAGAAATACATTTTCAGCATTCATGTCTCTTTGAACACCTGTATGAAACATTCCATTGTTGGGTCACCTCGATACACATTTTTATAATGAA